GAGGTTGCTCTCTGCCCAGCTCTCCAGCCTGGCCACGTCCCTCTGAATGGCAGCACAGTCCTCTGCTGTGTCAGCCACTCCTCCCAGTTTAGTCTCCTCAGCAAACGTGCTGAGGCGGCACTCTGTGCCTTCCTCCAGCTCCTCGATGAATACATTGAACAAGACTGGAGCCAGCACTGACCCCTGCGGCACACCGCCAGCTACAGGCCTCCAACTAGACTCTGCGCCACTGACCACAACCCTCCGAGCTCTGCCATCCAGCCAGTTCTCAAGCCACCTCACTATCCACTCATCCAACCCACACTTCCTGAGTTTACTTATGACAATGTGATGGGAGGCAGTGTCCAAAGCCTTGCTGAAGTCCAGGGAGACAACATCCACTGCTCTGCCCTCACCTACCCAGCCAATCATTCCATTTTAGAAGGCTATCAGATTGGTCAAGCATGATTTCCCTTTGGTAAATCCATGCTGACTACTCCTAATCATTTTCTTGATCACAAATCCCACATACTGAAGCAGCACTGTTAGCACTCCACATTTTTCTTCCTGGGGTGCTCTACAGTCCAGAAAAGCAATTGTGAGGTAGAAAGTCATAAGTCCATTTTTTTGCATTTTTTTGTTTTTTTTTTTTTAAAGTATTTATTTACAGGACTTCAAATATTCTTAACTGAGTCATAAGAACGGGATAGGAGAAAACATATGTTATATAATTAGATTGTATTGTACAAGTCCATTTGGCAAGACCCTAAAGTACATAACTACAACTGGGTTCCTCTGGAACAGCAGTAGGAAACTTGCTGAAAGTTACTTATACTGCTTTAAAAAAAAAAACCCAAAACAAAACAAAAAACATACAGAAGGACTAACATGGCTGTACAGGAATGCTAAAAAGAGTATCTGAAGCAAGCAAAAAAAAAAGGTGCATAAACTACAGGATGTGACCTGCAAAGAAGATACCATGAAGGCTTAGAAGGAATTTGATCAGCCAGTGGGAAAGATGAAAAGAAAAAAAGCCTAGAAAATGTATGATTTGTGCCCCTGACTGAGCTATATCTGGCCATCAAAAATGGTAACTGTAGGCCAAAGGACGTGACAAGTTAGTTGGAGGAAAGTATTAGTGTCAGTGCTTAAAAGACTGCTGACACATCATCAGTAACCTCCATTCTGGCCATCCACATACAAAATGATCAAAACAGGACAGCTGCTAGAGTGGTCAAAAGAACATAATAATGGCCATCAGCCTGGGGTCTATCAGTTTTGTTTCCTGTCGCTAACAGCAACTAAAAGCAGATGCTTAAAGGAATTGTAAGTAACAGACCAAGTGGTCCTTAGAAGGAGGAGGAGTAACCTCTGTCCCTCCTATCCCTTATCAGTTTCTCATCTGTTCTCCAGTTTCTATACATTTATCTTCCATAAATGTCCCTCATACCTCCAGAATTTCACTCTACTTTTGGATGCCACAGTAAGGAACTTCACAATTATACACTGTGTGGAAGTAGTACTCCCTCAGAATTTCACTGGGTGCCACACATTTCTTCTTTTCACAAGAAATAGTGAGTAATCACTTCCCTATTCTTCTTCTTCTCCATTCCAGTCATGATTTTGCAGACTTCTGACAAACCCCTCCTTGATCATCTGTTGTCCAAGCTAAGAGTCTTCTTTAATTTCATTTTGTGCAGAAATTATTCCGTACTGCTGATTATCCTTCCCACCCCCTCTTTCTGTTTCAAAGGTTTTTTGTTTGAGATAACATATAGAAAAGGTGAGCGCTCCATGGGTACATACAGTGGGCTAGTGCTCACTTTGTATCTTTTTCTCCCCACCCA